TGATACTATCATTCTCAGTTATCTTCAACGGGGGACTGCAATGCTGATGATAAGCTTGCACTTTAAATGTGCGGAAAGTTGCTGATTTCTCTGAGGAATGAATTCACCCCATTGAGCTTCGATGATGAGCCACGGTACGAATAGCGTGTCCTGCAAATATTGATAGGAGGTATTGCGGCATGGCTGTGCTAGAACGTATTACGCCGACGGACACCATATTTGATCTGTGTTCTTTATGATTGCTGTTAGCAGCTTTGATCCGTCTGACAGCTGATTACAAATCCGCGCAGCCTGTAACTTGTAGATAAAATTTAAAAACCTAGTGAATGAAATGACGTGTCCGATTAACGTAGCTTTGTCTAATAAATAAAAATTCGTTATAATCATTTTGGAATATTTTATATTTTTATCTGTTGTTTTGTGTATGCACTAAAAATTAGTTGAAATTGTTGCGTTTCCGTACATTGCAAGGAGCCAAGGCCTGCTTAAATGCTCCCCCTGCCAAGGGCAAATAAACACAACATGCGACATTGTAACAAGTACCAGGTGGTTTTAGTGAACATGATGATGCGAGACGCATCTAGCACTGCAACTTTGCAGAAATTTGATCTTGAAGAGCTATTCGTTATTGTTTACTTTTTGGCAGTTAATGGGTTTAAGTTCTGTTGCAATGTCGTCACGGCTGTGATTGAATAGTAAGCCAGTAGTTAGCCATGGATTTAATTATCCAGTGTTTTAGTGTGACTACTAACGTATCAGTAATGTCTGCCTTTGATCATGTGACCGTGGTTAATACCGAACACCTCCCGTATTTGTCGAAATGAAAATCTGTCTACTCATTTTATGCTGCCAACCGATGAACTGAAAAAAATTTTCATCCTGGTCATTTACCGATGCATCTTTACTGTTTTAGGTGGAACAACTTAAGCAGCGTAACGCGGAGTTGAGCGACCGCTCCAAAACCTTAAGTGAACAGCTGGCCGAGTTCAGACGCCGTACTGGTTCCCTTCGCGAAGACGAGGTATACAGTAAGAATGGTTGTCTTTGGGGCGTTCAAAAGATTAGTCAATTTCAGGAAAACAGCGATGGAGAATTTGGGGTACGCGCCACCACCGGCTATAACCTTGATTTCGGCAACTATACTCCCTCTATAAGTATAGCCAGACAGGAAAGTGAAACCGCTGTACCCGAAAACGGTGCTTTTTCACCAACCAGTCACCAGTTCGAAATTCGCAAGCTGAATGACGAAATCCGGCAACTGCAGGAAGAATGCCAGCACTGGAAAAATCTGTCAAAGGTAACGAAATCGTGCTTCTCTTCTCTGTATTGAATATATTATGTTAATGGTCACAGTTGCTCAATCGGTAGAATGTTTGACTGAGAATCGAGAGGTCCTGTGTTCGAACCCCGGTCTGGGCTACTCACATTGCTGCCTTATTAGGTTGATAAATGAGTACCGGATGGGATGGAAACAAGAAACTACATGTTATGCTTATCATATGGCTGTAGACTCTAATTTTAGAAAAATTTTGGCACTCCTGACTGATGGCACATAAATGGAGATGAGCAAGGCAGCATTAAGTTCATGAAAGAAAGACATCAGAAATGATCCCTTCTTGAAAGTGTAAAGAAGATCGACATTCCCTCGGTTAAAGCTCTCTCTCCTTACCTTCTTCCTTATGTATTATATAAGGCAAAAACGGGTTCGTAAATCCTATTACCGTGATTTGTGTTTAACATCTGCTGCTTCTGCAGCGCGTGACACTGCTGTAGCGGATAAAACGATTTCCGACACAGCTATCAGTGCAAACGCCATAAAACCTGGCCTTAGTCGAGTTTTGTGTCAGTGATAAGATATCGATAATAAAGTTAAATAGTTTATTCGTTTTTAATATTCGGTGTTTTTTTAGATATCACCTCCTCTAAACGACGATGTCAAAGAGAATGAGATCGCCAGTTTGAAGGCCGAAATTAAAGTAATATTTTGTTCAGAAGTTTCAATATACAGCGAAGGCAGTAGGCTACTTTTAACGGGTTATTTTTTCTCTCTGTTATGTCTCAGTTGTAATTTACGCTCGCATTTCTGGTACTGTTCTGACAGTAGAATACAGACATGAAAAAAGCCGTACGTTTTAAAGAATTCATCAAAATGAAGTTTGAAAGACTTTATTCAGTAGTATTTGTTTTAGACGATGACTTTGCTCACTGATTATGCATAAGGTCCTTAGTTAAGTCCTTCTACCGATTTTCTTTATGCTTATAACTACTTAAACGGACAATTTTTATTTTTAGCCGTTTTCATCGCTATTAAACTACCATGGTATTTATCTACTGTAACTGCTCTTGGGCCATTATTATTATTGAATGTGGTGCACGATTTCTTTATGCGGGAGATGATATTATTCTTTGGTATGTCACAAATTGGAGGACAACGTCTAAAATATTTTTTTATTAAAGCCAACTGACGTTTTGGACCAAGCTTGGTTTGTCTTAAGAGTTAGAATCAGATATTATAGCTGTACTCCGTATATGTTATGAAATACTTTTCCGAAAACCAGTTACAACTGACTCACTTGCTATGTTAAATTTTGTAAACGATTGATTGATTTCCGAAGGCTCTAGATGCGAGCCAATTGTTTCTCCGGAGACTACGAAAGTACAGCCATAGATTGCATGATTTCGTAGAGCTGAGAATGCTTGATTTGCTAAAGTTTTTCAGCACTTTAAGGCTAACAAACATCATCCTCCAGTTGCATAGCACTGAAACGGATTTCAGTTTTACAGCTCCTTCTGGCTGCTTCGAATTACACATATATACGCAGTTCATTTACTCAGCACATTTCGTTATACAGCAGAATTTGTAACATTGTCAGTTTACGGTAATACGACCTGTTTGTTCTCTATGCGCGTACGACGCATTTTTTGGTTCTAGTATGAAACTATATTTCAATTTTTGAAAATGCATGTTGTGTATGGATAGCGATCGACAGATTCACCAGTAATGCAATAGATCGTATTCTTGCAAGAAACCGAACCGTCGCCAGGTCGTGCCGTCTGTGCCTCTCTGTCAAGAAAGTTGCAGACACTGTTCATAGAAGCACTTTAATCACCCTCACATTTGTTTTCCGTCAACTGTAAAATTGCTCTGCTTTATCGGTGTAATAAAGAAGCCTTCAAGAAGTCTGTGTCCATCATTTGTAATTGCGTCTGGGCGGTAGAAAACGGCCAGGCAGGATTTGAGCCTTGTCGTCTAAACTCGAAACCGTATAGTTAAGGGTCAAGCACGAGATTAGGAACGCAGTCAAAGACTAGGAGCTCTACCCTCCCATAGAAAACCATGGCTGTCGGTTGGTACCTTGAACATATGGGAAACGAAATAAAAGTTTGAAAAAATAAATTAACATATGCAAAAATATTTGTCAGATAGGAAGTAAATTTTTAACAATTAAAATAATATCATCCATAATTGAGCATATAAATTTTACCTACCTGAAATGCTATGCTACAACAGTACAGTTATTGCCATTACCAAAAACTTTTATGAGAACAGGCACGGCGTAAGTTTTTTGTTTCTAAAATTTGATATCTGTCATCAGGCCGTAAAAGTTGTACATACTTGCTTGCACGTATTAGTTTGTTGTCGAGGTATGAACATAATCGATGATATCAATCAGAAGAATGTCCCATGAGCACTGAGTTTATGAGCAGCGGGCTGAAATCACAGTGGAGTAGTTTTGGTTCATATTTCTTCTGATTCCAGTGCACCTTAGAAAGGTTCGCAGCCGAGTGCGACGTGACCGGCATGCGTGTGAACGCATCTAAAAC